GTCAAGCCTTGCACACCATCTTCCTGAAAGAGCCTCTTCTGGGTGGCCATCTGGAAGCATCACCTCAGTGCAGAGGAGGCAGGCTGCTGGATTTGTGTTGACTCACTTCTCAGCACTGGCTACTGCCCTGAAGGCAGCATTACATTTTATTCCTGGAATACACAGCATTATAACTAGATGTGCAGACATGACATTTTGATTGCTGAATTCTGAGCCTATTGATGTTTGTGACAAGACTCAGAAAAAGACCCGGGAAAAAAGAATAAAGATGCAACAGAAGTAACCAGCTGAGGACAAGCAGAGATAACGATCCCAGACTTCAGAACCAAGTAAAGGCAGGAAGGTATAATACCATACCTGAAATACAGCACGGAGAGCCCTCTCTCATGCAGTGTTTTGAAAGAAGAATCTGAAAGATCACAGGTTTTTTTGGGGAAAAAATTAGCTAAATAAGCAATGAAAAGCCAGAGCCAAGATGCAAAAATGAAACATGCTGAAACTATGGAGAAATTAGATTTCAGAAGCTATGAAACATGGGCCTTTCCGTTGTAAGAAAACATTACAGAAAATGAAAATTATACATATGAAGCAGGGGGGAAGCAGAAGAATCCTCCCTGGATTTAAGAAAGCTGGGAGGATCAATGAGAAAAGAGGAAAATCAGGTTGTTATTAATATCATATTCCTATTCTGCCTTTGTAATTAAACTGTAAAACATGGCTGCATTTTTTTCCCTGCCATGTATGGTGCTCAGATATAAATCATCTATGGGCTCATGACCACACTTCAGTAAAACTAATGATATGAAAGTCTGTAGACTTGGGATAAGACAGCATTTATAAATGCTTGGTGAAAGGAACACTAAAATTGTTCCTACTACAGTAATATAACTTTTAAGCCTCTTCATGTTCCTGTGCTTTAGGAATGTGTGTGATTATCACTAGGTATAAGAATCATGAATCATTCAGGTTCCCAAGGACATTCCCCAGGGAACAGTCTCAAATGCAAACATTTGAGAGTCCCCAAATTACTTGGTGCAGCTGGAGGGACGAATTCATGGTCTCTCATGGATAAATGATCAGTTTTCCTGAAATTGCATTTAAATATTGTGCTTCAGAGGTTACTTGCAGTTACTCTGGCATAAACTGAGGGTAGTCCAACACACTGGGGTTGAGCACCACCTAGATTTAAAGGCAGATGAAAAAATGTTTGGGATTGTTAAAATATCTGTGTTATCCTTCTCCTGTTTATCGAATTTACTAGCTGTAAAAGTTAGCACTATCAGCAGAAATACCATCAGCTAAAACAATTGCATCTAGAGTAAGTGTCGAGAAAGACTTGGTCATCAACAAGCAGGGTAGCATCCAAGGATGGAATCATCCTATTCATAGTCCCTTGGCTTCATTTCATAGGTGAAGTCTGGTTTTTGAGGGGAGGAAAAGAGCACAGAGCCTTTCAGTTACCAGGTATTGTTCTTTCATGTTACGGCGAATCTCAAAAAATTAAAAATTAGTTTGAAAAAGCAGAGGTTTTTGATTATTCCAAACAGATGGCTTAAGGGGAAAGATGCAACTTTTACTGCTGACAGTTAAAATGTTAAACAATCTGCATGTGGAGAGGAGTAAACAAAATTTTATCTTTGTTTAATTGTGCTACGTAAGCTAAACATTCTTCATGAAATTACTAAAAAAATCCTACAAAATTTTGCTATGCTTATTTTGAAGTCAGTAAGAGTCATCACACCAACAGTGTGGAGAAAGAAGCTCTTGGAAAAATCAGTGATCATTCTTTCTTCCCCAGCCCTTTGCTGATGTTACTCCTTCAGGGTGCCATAGAAGCTAATGGAAGTGTTGCTACAGATCTTAAACAGAATACATCAAGCTCTTTGTGTTATAATGAAGAAAGATATGTTCAAATTGTGTAAGTTGCTTTGCCTTCTAAATGAAAAATACTTCTAAAAGGAAAAAAAATTTACCTGATCCTGAATCTGAGCCTATTAAATGTGAAAAAAAAATATTTAAAGCAGCAATTTATTATTTACAGTTGACTCTTTCAACTGGTATCTGGCAAAAATACATTTTTTTCCCATAATGGAAAATCTATGATATAAAAAAGAATTAAAACTTTAAATATTAAAACTATATTGAATCCACTGTGTTTAGTTTTGCTGCTTAATTTTTCTTGGATAAATTTAATGGAAGAGGATGATTTTTCTCAATGACTATGTGATTATTTTTTTTTAATTATTTTTTTTTTTAAAAGACTCCCAAAAAGCGAAGATAAGCTTCTAAGAAGAGGTTACCCAGGACAAGGGATGCTAGATACTGAATGCGTTTCCTGCAGACCGGAACGGGCCTGTACCCCGACCCCAGGCCGTCTCACCGTGGTGCCACGGCCACCGGGTTCATCCCCCGGCGCCGGTGGCAGGAGGGCGCGCCCAGGGCCCTGCAGGCGCTTTCCAGGGAGGCCTGTGCCCCCTGGTGGGACTCAGGCAGCCGACAACAACCGCAGCCCCTGCTGGCCAAAGAGCAGCCCTGCAACCCCTGTCCCCAGACCGGCAGGGGGGAACCCGCACAACCACAACCAACCAACCGACACCACAAACCCCCCCACAACGCCAAAGAAACAACAACAAAACCCAACCCGGCCTTGATCCGTGGGTCAGTGGCAGCTCCCCCGCTCCCGCGCGCCTGACCCCCGGCCCGCCGCG